AGAGCTAAATAGCTTGAAATAGATCTATACTAGTCTCCCTTCATTTATTTATCAGCAAAAGTGCAGATATAGATATACGGATATATTCACATACATGTTCTAACTCCTGAAGGATCAACTTAATCAGCTTCCTATCCTAGCTGTGACTATACCTCTAAATTCATTGTCTATCTTTTCCAGATGTTGTCACGCCCAACGGCCTCAACATTAAAAAATTCTCGGCGATGCATGAATTTCAGAATTTGCATGCCACCTATAAAGCCAGGATCCAAGAGTTCGTTCGAGGTCACTTCTACGGGTAGGATCTGCCTTTCAAAATGGACTCTTGCGTTACTCCAAAATCTAGATGAAGATGAAGAAAGGGGGGGTGGGATTGCATTGTTAGTCCTTGACATACGACCATAATGGGAACCAAAATTTACACAGCTAAGCAAAGCGGTTTGTGAATCACTTTACGGCCATTTTTGTTAAGTGAATCACTGCAGTCATTAAGTGAATCACATGGTCGTCCTGTGAATCTGGCTTTCCTCACTAGCCTTGATTTCTGAAAGCCGGCTGGGAAAGTTTGCAGATTGTAACAGCTGCAACAGGTGTGAATACATGCTAGTTGCCAAGTGCACAAATTTTGAATGCGGTAGCTCAGCAGCTAAGACGCTGAGCTTGTCGATCAGAAAGGTCGGCAATTTGGTGGTTCGAATCCCTAGTACCACGTAACGGAGTGAGCTCCCGTTCCTTAGCCCAGCTTCTAGCAGTTCAAAAGCAAGTAAAAACGCAAGTAGAAAAATAGGAACCACCTTTGGTGGGAAGGTAACAGCGTTCCATGCGCCTTCGGTGTTTAGTCATGCCGGCCACATGACCACGGAGACGTCTTTGGACAGCGCTGGCTCTTCAGCTTTGAAACAGAGATGAGCACCGCCCCCTAGAGTCGGGAACGACTAGCACATATGTGCGAGAGGAACCTTTACTTTTAATTTCAATCCTGCCCTGCAAATGGTTTCCTTGGAAAAGTGGGAGCAGGGGTTTTAAGAGTTAGGTTTTAAACTGAATTTTTAGTAGAATCCTTGAATCAATATCCTGCGTGTATTCACAAGCTCTCTTCTGGGGGATTTCCTTCTTTTGAGGCATTGCTTCGGCTTTAGATCAGTGGGCCCCCCATAGGGAGATCAGGTGTTTCTTTGCTATTTGGGATACACACACATGTGCACACACACACACACACACACACACACACACACACACACACACAGCCAAAAGCAATGTTCGACTTCCAATGTTGTTGTTGTTACACATCTGCGACCTTTGTTCAACATCGCCGAATGATGTTGTTTGTTTGAACAACCCGTTTTCAGCATTGTGCCCTTGTTTGCTCTCTTTTCAGCCATCTCGATTTCAACCTTGAAAAGACTTTGTTTTTCTTCATTGCCGGGAGATACGAGTTTTCGAACAAAGGAGCGGACATGTTTTTAGAGGCCTTGTCGAGATTAAATTTCCTGCTCAGGGTAAGAAAGAGGACAGGCGCCTCAGAAACGCCACATAGTCAGTCATAGGCAGGGGTGAAATCAACTTATCTTTCGCTACCGTTTCACGAACGTGAGGACGCGCATGCGCAGGAGCTTCTGTGTTAAAAACGGGACGCGAGGATGTCCAGGCGGGTGGGCGGCGCCTCCCACCACCATCGGTTCACCCGAACCGGATAAAACCGGCTGAATTGCACCACTGGTCATAGGAGAACGACGATGGATGAGATCGAAATTCAACACTTCATGCCTCCAAATGGCCAACCAGATCAATATCTTTGGGAAAGTCAAATCCATGGCCTCAAATCCACGCTGGGCGGGGAATTCTGGGACCTGAAGTCCACAAATCTAAAAGCTGCCAAGGTTGGAGTTCCCTGGCCTGTTACAATCATCCTGTAGATATTCCTGGACAATCAGTATTGAAAGACTCACCGCCTTCATCAATGGAAGTGGAATTATCTCGTCTGGGAGGGTTAAATAGGGACGCAGTGGCTCAGTGGCTAAGACACTGAGTTTGTCAGTCAGAAGGTCGGCAGTTCAATGGTTCCAATCCCTACTACCCCGTAATGGAGTGAGCTCCCGTTACTTGTCTCCGCTTTTGCCAACCTAGCAGTTCGAAAGGACGTAAAAATGCAAGTAGAAAAATAGGAAACCACCTATAACAGATGCTCCGTGCAACTTCGGTAACGGTGTTCGGTGTGCCTTCGGCATTTAGTCATGGCGGCCACATGACCATGGAGATGTCTTCAGATAGGGCTGGCTCTTCGGCTTTGAAACTGAGATGAGCACCACCCCCTAGAGTCAGGAATGAGTAGCACATATGTGCAAGGGGAACCTTTACCTTTAGAGGGTTAAATAGGATCTTAAAATCCTAAACTTGGAAGGATCATTAAGACCATCAAGTCTAGCCTGCTGTTTAGAAGAGTTCGAATTTGTGGGTTCCATTACTTTATGGAATTACTACGGCTGTTGATGAGTTTTTAATCTGTTTGTATTTGTCTGTCTTTTCGTTTTTTGTACTTTCCCTACTTCCCCTTTCCCCTATTTAGTTTGTTAGCCACCCTGAGTCCCCTCGGGGAATAGGGCGGCATACAAGTTCAATAAAACTAAACTAACTAACTAACTAACCCTTCAGAAAAAAACCCGGGGTGTTCAAACTTGACAGCTTTAAGACTTGTGGACTTCAGCTCCCAGAATTCCTCCTCTCGCTCTTCATCTTGATGATGTGCGGATGGGCAGGGGGAGGGGGCTGGAACTGGTTCTAAACGGCACTGCAGATTTGTGGAACCTTTTCTACAGAAGAGGTTAGAACTGGCAGGAACACATCCCTGGTGCAAAGGGACTCAGGAATGATGACATATTTGACCCCTCCTTCGAACTCAGCCTGGTCATCTCCTACATCCATGATGGCAAACCTATGGCACATGTGCCGGAAGTGGCATGCAGAGGCATCTCTCTGGGCCTCTGGGTCGTCGCCCATTCCTCTTCCGAGTTCCGCCGCACTGGCCACAGCTGATCTTCGCGTGTGTGGTAGTGCCGGAAACCAGAAGAGCAGCCACTGAGTGCGCATGCGCTCCAGCCAGCTGATCTTCGGTGCGCAAGCATGCCAGAAGCCAGAAGACCAGCTGGCCAATGTGCATGCGTGCACCGGAAAATGGAAGATCATCTTCCCGGTGTGCGCATGTGTACCCGGCAGCTGCTCTTTCGGTTTCCAGCATGCACGTACACATTCCCCTTTCAGCACTTGGTGCCCAAAAGGTTCACCAACCCTGTCACGGAGCATTTGTGCAGCGGCTATCACATGGCCTAAAAGGCAGAAACAGAAAGACAGTAAGATGGGAGGAAAATACCTTTACTTCTGCTAAAAAATGTGCTTTTCTCTTTTAGGTGCACAGGAGTGATGTCACAGTTGTTGTGTTCTTTATAATGCCGGCAAACACCAACAATTTCAACGTGGAGACGTTGAAAGGCCAGGCAGTCCGGAAACAGCTCTGGTAAACTTCTTTCTGTTGTCCAATGTAATGGGTATATATAGGTATGTGTGTGTGTGT